GGGTGTTTGTAATTACTTGGGTAACATTCATTCTCGATAGTTACAGATTTCTCGGGTAAGATTTTTCCAAGCTGTTAAGGAGGCTGTGGTGTGGTAAGAAACCTTCAGAGGACATTTCGCTTTCTGAATTTGAGATGTCGCAAAATATTCCGATAGAAAAAGATAAGAAGGTAGCAGCAGCTCCGCGTTTGAGCAGCTCCGCCGATAGGGATGCTTCATCTTTAGAACAAGAACCATCGAAGGTTTTTGTAGAAGCAAAACCAAAGACTTCTGTAACTCCATCATTAGCCTCCATTTTGTCTCGAGGTAGATCTAGCAGATCCAATACATCACGTACTACACCTAATCTTTCTGTCGGTCGGATTGATGCTAACGCATTGTTGCTCGAAACTATGAAAATGCAGAATATGTATATACTGGAATCTATGAAAATACAGAAAGAGCAGGCAAAGGAAGCTTCTCGATTCGTCAACTCCACTTTGTCCTCTGTTACAAACATGGATATGGAAAGAATGGATCGAAGGACGAGGTGACATATTTAATGCCCAAGATGAAGAAAACGAGAGGAAATTAAATAATGCAATTGCACAGCTTACAGCAGAATCGAAACTCCCAACAGACTTATCTAACGAACAAAAAACAATCCTTACTCACATTCAAGAATTTTGGAGTCAAGTACCTGATCAGCGGTTTGGTCAATTTCTATCCAATTATGTTGTTGGACACTTTCTCGCTCAACCTCCAAAGACAATGTTGCAGAAAGAAGATGCTCAAATATTGGCAATATTGAAAGAAATTAAGTCTGCTCAACCTAGCCATTAAATCAAAATGACGAATCACACTTTCCATGATGGTAAATTACAACAAACAAATGTGTTTTCAATAGACAATGGCAAATTAAATATTACTTCCTTGATATTTGTAATTTTATAAAAGTAATTGACGATAGTGAAAAACAAAATCATAAGCACTAATCTAATATTAAAACTTACTTATTTTTTAAACTCATTATTCTAAAAATATAAATATTAATTTATTTTTTTTATTCTGTAGAAAGTCTATAAATTAATCATATGATGAAAAAAATAATTTTCCATACTTTTCTCTACACGTGTTAATACGACTACATCAGGTAAGCTGTGTTACAGTTGATCTAAAAGATGCCGTGTGTGCTATGTCATCGAACCCGTTTTCAAGTGTGTACTTTCCATGGATCGACGAATCAGAGGTGGTTGGGTCCGAACTCCATATTTCGACTATGGCTCTAGATAGCCACCCTAGTGGATATACTCGAGCTAGATACTTGCACAAGTACTTGGATTAAGTAATGAGAACAATTTGAAGAGCAGGAGAGTAACGAGAACAGGAAAATTTAAGTAAATTTACATCAAAAGCTTCAGTCAAATACTTATTCCATTTATCTTCATTTTGTATTTTGTACATATTCGACAGCCATACTCTACTTTTGTAGAGCAAATACAAGCACGGCTCTTA